CTGAATTAGCATTATAGGATACATATCATGAACATTACATGCATAGATGTTGATGAATAAGGTCTTATCTTCTCAAAAAAAAAAAAAAAAAAGGTTGCAGATGGCCGTCCATGAACTCCAGACGACCATCCATGTGTTACCGTTGGGCATGGGTGGTCTTCCATGAAGGATAGACGCCCATCCATAGTCGAACGTTGGGCATGGACAGCCGTCCATGAAGCGCGGACGGTCGTCCACCAGTAGCCGTTGGGACCAAACGGTCTTCCGGGTTTGGCGAGGTTACCTATAAATAAGGATGCCCAAATTGACCCATTGCATCCCATTTTCACATTCCCTCTTCCTTCTTCCCGTTTCCTTGCATACTTGAGTGTGTTTGGTTGAAAAATGGACTGGGGAGCATCTTCATCACGCTGAAAGCGCTCTCGAGGGCCTGTCAGGCCAATTCCTACCCCTCAAGTTCCTACTCAACTAACTGAACAACACCAAGCTAGATTCGCCAACATCAGCCAGTATGCTTGGCACCCTATGCTTGACATCGTATGCTTTGGCTAGACTTTGAGATCCTAACCATGTTTGGTTGGGATCAAGATGTAAGAAGATGCATCCAAGGCATATGTTGGGATTTATGCTCAAAGAGCTGCCTACCCGTATCCATCGCACTACCACGCTGGAGTTTCTCTCCTCTTTCACGCTGATGGAGTTGCCATCCACAATTCCTAGGGTCCCTCCTGTCCAGGCGGTCTCATATTGGATGAATGCGACCTACCAGTCTAATGTATTGGACGAATTCAACGTCCTTATGGGATTCCACCAACCTGCTGACATCCAAACTACAGAATACAGAGAGGCATATTGCGAAAGGCCAACCACCCTCACCACCAGCCAAATGTGGGAGGAGATTACCGGCTCCCAACATGTTCCTACCAATCCAAAGGGATCCACATTTCTCCCTTCGCTTCGCGTTTGTCATAAGCTGCTAGCAGGCACCATTCACGCTAGGAAGGAAAGCCAAGGCAAGGTTACTCAAGCTGACCTTTTTGTTATCTACTGCATGCATTGAGGATTCCGATGCAATCCTGACTACTTCTTCTTGAAGGCGTTGAAGGATTTTGGGGCTCGGGGCTCGACCAGAACCATCATGATAGCCCCTCCTCACTCGTCTGACTCAATACTAGAGATGCACTGATGGGGAGGATATACCCGCCGCACTCCAACCAAAACCTATAGAAGGATCGGTGCTCGCCCATATGGGTATGCTCACCCGACAAGGGACCGGGTTTGTCTTGCATCCTTATCTCACCATGACGCTAGATATCCATGAGATGGACGCATCAGAGTCACAGGATATTCCCATGCTCCCAGAATTCCAACAACAACAACAATAATACGGGGATGATATTGCCAGTGTCCATCAGCACATACGTGACATGCAGGCACATATTGATAGTCAACATCATTATGTACAACAATAGTTCGAGTAATGACACTGAGGCAAGGCTGGTATGATTAGAGGCATGACGAAGTGTACCATAGGTTGGACGACCTGAGTCAAATGGTAGACAGATTCGCCCAGGACTTGCGCAACATGAGGCAAAGCCAGGAGGAATTCCAGCAACGTATGCTCCGACAGTATCCCTCACCAGCACACTCCACGACATCCAGCTCAGGTACAGAAAGCTGAGTTGATGTGTTACTTTTCATTCTCCAGAATAAATGTACCCTGAAAATCCAAAAATTTAATAAATGGAAGTTTCCTTTTATCCTCTTGCCATTCCTCTCTTTTAGCAAAAAGTCTGTGTGCGAAAAGAAACTAAAAAATAAAAAAGCACATGCATCATCCCGAAAAAACCAAATTTCAAATCGCGAAAAAAGAATAAACCCAAAAAAAGACGAAATTAACCAAGAGCTCCCAAAATCAAGAATTCCAACCACTATCCTTCCACCAAATAAAGAAAAAGAACTTTCTAGACCAAAACAAAGCCGACGGAAAGGCTTAATCCCCAAGTGGATCATTGCCTACTCCAGAGGCAAACAAAAATATTTTCGCATGACTCAGCATCATCACCACGATGAGTAATCAAGCATACTCAACCCATTCTCCATCACATTCACCAAGGGAGAATAAAGGCTTTGTATTAGCCCATCACCAACACAATCAAGGAGGCAAGATTCCATTTCCCCCAGAAGGCTACCAAAATTTGATCTCTAGGGAAACAAAAATTCCCTAGTGGATTGCCAAAAAGAAGAACATATCCTCAGTGAGCTTACCGCAAAGGTAATGTTAAAAAACTCACATCCTCAGAGAATCATCTGCCTACGCATAGGCAAAGCCTGGTAAGAGCCAGCATCCCTGAAGGGATTATCAGCCTGTTCAGAGGAAAATACATCTAACCAACAGTCTTCACTTCTGATGAAGCATCCACCTATTACAGAGGCATTTTCCAAAATCCAAAAATCCTCAAAGGATTCCTGCCTACTCAAGAGGCATTCATCAAAAAATCCCCATGGAGTCGGTGCATGAACAAGAGCAGTAAGCCGCCACCACAGCCTAAGGGTCAGCTACCGCATCGAAAGAGCATCCTGAGGCATCAAACCTGATAAGAGTTCGTACTCATCAACCAAGGGGTCAGCTACTGCATCGAAGCAGCATCCTGAGGTTTCCCACTTGTCAGCTACGGGGTTAACTACCTCATCAAAGGAGCATCCCAAAGCTACGACAATCAGATGAGGGTTCGTACTCATCAACCATGGGGTCAGCTACCGCTTCAAAGGAGTATCCCAGGGTTTCCTATTCATCAACTAAAGGGTCAGCTATCGCATCGAAAGAGCATCCTGAGGGAGAAACTTCATCAACCAGCCGAAGGGTTAGCTACCGTATCAAAGGAGCATCCTGAAGCTTCACTCATATTGTCCGAAGGGTCAACCTCTACAACAAGGAAGAATCCTGACGACAACACCAGACTGCATTCATTGTCCCGAGGGTCGGCTACCACATCAAGAGGAGCATTCAAAGGACAACCAGACAAGCTGGTTAACTCCTTCACCCGCCAATCGACCTTACGGCGCATTAGCTCATAGCCAATTGGTCGGGTGAAGAGGGGACAACTATAGACCCCAAATCTTGCCCGACTCCACGAAAGACCAGAAATCCTTCATTCTGAAGAAGAATAAGGTTTCATGGGGCCTCTAGTAGTGTTTACTATTTAGAATAAGGAGGGATTTTTGGGAAATAAAAAATCATTTTTTGTCAAGGAAGCAGTTGATGGTCATCCAGTAGAGCCAGACGACCATCCACTTTGATTTTTCAGCCATGGACAACCATTCACCTTGACCAGACGACTATCCATCCTAAAATTGAGACATGGACGATCGTCCATGTTAAACAGGCGATCATCCACCCTTAATTTTAGCCATGGACGGTCGTCCATGATGGCCAAACGGTTGTCCATGATGGTCAGACGGTCGTTCATGTTCCCTAGCTTGCTTCTCTATAAATAAGAGTCTCATTTCCCTATTTTTCAAACACCTTTCACTCCTACACTCTTGTCACAACCAAAATTGTAGCAGGACAACAAACCAAAATTTTAAAAGATTTAAAAAAAAAATTAAACTCAGAGTTTTGGAGTCACCACCATAATTTATTTAGAAAAACTATGGAAAAATCATAAAGATAAGGCAAGGTATACAAAAATCAGATTCAGGTTTGGGAGTCAATTATGAGTAGAGAAGGTATCAATACCCTACAATGTCATTCCTAAGAAGGTTACCCTTAGTTGAATGTGCGAAATTAAATGTCATTTTCCTCCAAAAAAATCAGAAAATAGAGAAAGAAAAAAGAAAAAGAAAAAGAAAAGGACTAAAATATTTTTAGTTTTTCGAGACCCGAGAAGAATTGACCTTGCTCCTACATATTCCCATTCAAAATGAGAAATCAGGATTACGTAATTCTTTATAGAAAAAAATTTATATGTTTGAACAATGTTTTGAAAAATTTTGTTTCTAAAGAAGTTTTATATTTTGTTAAACGACCGTTCCTGTGCTTCAAAATTTATTTAAAATAAAGGACATGATGACAAGTGCAATCATACCCATGTTTCAAATTTTTTTACCACTAAATCAATGCGGGGTCGATAGCCACTAAATCAAAGCGAGACCGATAGCCACTAAATCAACATGAGACCGATAGCCACTAAACCGATCGCGGAACTGATAGCCACAACCAAACACAGGGCCGATAGCCACTAAACCTAATGTCTTATGTAAACATTCATAAAAAAAATTAACTACAGAAAACATTTATTAGAGGAATCAATCAGGTGTTATGACTACAATAGACCACCTATGTGAACCTTTCAAAGTTGTGACAAGACAATATACAAATCATCCCGCATGAAACAAATCTAATGAAAGCTCAACTGAACCAACCCGAAATCCCTTTCCTCTGATCCAAACCATGAAAATAATACCCAACAAAGCTAATATAGCCTCAACTAAAGCCAATTAGACCATGTTTAGAAAGAAGTTCCTAGCCCATACCAAGAAGAAACATCAAATAAATTCACACGAATCATAGAATATAACCCCAACAGAATAAGATCAGGACAAATCCAGAATCAAGCAATTCCCCGACTTAAACAACAATAACTTAAGTTTAATTATTCTTAATAGAAAACTAGTCAAATTCAGATCAAGCCGTCAAGGACCAACCAAAATTAGTCCGAACCAATGCAGACTGAACAACCAAAAACAAACACCAATAGTTGGGCTCAAGTCAAACCAAACTCAACCCAGAGGACATACAAACTCAAACCAAGTTCAGATTCAAATTAAACCAACCCTGCATCAAACATTATATAATCCAAACAAACATAATAACGTAGACATAGCCAGATTTGGCAGAAATACGGGCATATGTCATCACGAGTTGGTTCGCCGTGCGGTGGCCTTAGATGGCTCTCGGTGGCAATGTGCGACTCGTAGTGGCGCGACGAGGACGTGCACTAGGGCGCGTGGCTGGCGGTGGGTGCGGTGGCGATGGTTGTCAGGGCAGAGGTTAGAGGCGTGACAGCTGGTGAGGGGTTAGCGGCGCGGCCAAAGCCCATGGTGGCTAGCCGCGCGGTGGCTAGATGGGTGGCTTGGGTTGTCGGGAGCGAGGAGAAAAAAGTGATTGAGGAAGAGTCGAAGAAGAGGTATGGGACAGAGTAGAGGAAAATGAGGTCAGGGGTGGCTAGGGTGGAGGTTTTTGGACTAGAAGGCATGGTGAGGGTGAGCCCTAGAGTGGTAGACGGTGAGTACTGGTGGCAAAGGTGTGATTGAGTGAGACGGGGGGAATGTGGGGGGAATGTGGAAGACGCGGCCCACGCTGGTGGGGCCTGCGCATCAGGATGCAGAGAGGTCCGTGAGGGAGGGTGAAGGTGAGGGTCATAGGTCTGTGAGGGAGAGGGATAAAAATGGGTGATGAGTCCAAAAATTAAAATTAAAAAAACTAGGGAAGTTTCAAGAATAAAATGGGAGCATGAGTAAAATTTTACCTTGTGACCTCCGTCTTCTAAAATTCTCTAGTCAACTTAGTCTAACACGACCCCCGAGAAAACAATTCTTTTTTTCGAATTAGTTACTACCCTTTTTATAGGCAACCATTAGGTTAAAATTTGGTGACCTAGGTTAAAAAAACAATTAAGCCCAAAAAGAAATGACCCTTTCCTTCTTATTTGTTTTTTTTTATTATTATGATATATATTAAATTTCCTTCTTTTTTTCTTTTTCCTTTTTTTTGTTTTCATAAAGAAAATTATTTTTTCATTTTTCTTTTCTTAAAAAAATGTAGAATGTTATTAAAGTAAATTATTGTTATATTATTTTATTTTTTAAAACAAATGTTATTTATATTTTTTTTATTTACCCGGACTAAATTGGGTGTCGACACTGCCCCTCTTTACTTAGCTTTTACTATATAATATGAAAATTTAGAATTTTCGTATAATCATAGTAAAAGATAAGTAAAGATAGAAACAATAATTTTGTTCGAGTTTTCAGAATTATGATAAAAGAGGATGTAGGTTGCTCGTGGATGAGAGAAACCATCAATCTGAAATACGACAAGAAATTTAAAGGATATATAGATTGTCTGTGGAAGAGACTGACCGTCAATTCGAAATGTAAAATGGAAAAGGGATGTATAGATTGTCCGTGGAAGGGACTGACCATCAATCACTATTTGAAATGGATGTATAGATCACCTTGTTGAACATACAAGGATATGATTGTTGAACATACAAGGATATGAAGCTTGTAGATTTTGATGATGATTCAAGAACAAAGAACTTAGAGATTTGAAGACTTGTAATCTTATGTAATAACTCTGTTTTTATGTTTTGGAGTCTGTAATATTAGAGTCCAAGATAGCTAGCACATAGACCATTATTTAAAAGTTGTAAAAACTCATTTTTATCAAAATTACACTATGATAATCGATTATCACCCTGGATAATCGATTATTACAGCAAGAAACCCATTTTCAGGAAATCCTCTCTGTGATAATCGATCATCACTCAGGATAATCGATTATCACAGGCTGATAATCGATTATTTGGCCAGATAATCGATTATCCTGGCTCAGTTTTGTTCCCCTACGAATATGGCTCTGGAATAATCGATTATCACTCAAGATAATCGATTATTTGTGTCTGTTATGTGTTTTCAAATTCGGACCAAGTTTCGAAAACCCTATTCCCAATTCATCTGTTTTCGAAAATCCCCAATTCCTATACCCTATTCTCTCTACTTAAGGTTCTCTAAGGCTCTCTGCAAATGAACAAACATTTTTCATACAAAAGATAAGATTTGTGACAGCTAGAGAACTTCTGTAGGGAAGAAAAAGGGGCTTTTGAAAACCTAGTGTGGGCTAAAAGCGATAATAATCACTGAGTGGGTTTCTTGGTGGATTGTATGTCGTGCCGTCTCTAGGAAAACCTGTTCTTCATCCTTTGTGGATTCAAAGGAGGTGTTCATCTCTTGTGTGACTCAAGAGAGGTGTTTTCTTTACCTTATCTTTTCATTTGTAATCTGTTTGTAAATTGTGATTATAGTGACATCATTAATCCTCTTTTTGAGTGATTAGCAACTGGACGTAGGGTCTTTTGATCTGAACTAGTATAAATCAACTGTGTAATCTTCTATCCCTTCTCTATTTACTTTACACAACATTTTAATTGGTGAAATTTGGGAAAAATATTAAAACCCTAATTTTTGTTTAAGAAACCAATTCATCCCCCCTCTTGGTTTTTGTCCGTAAACGCAAACATTCCGCTGCGCGATTCTAACAAGTGGTATCAGAGCTTGCTTTGATAGTCATTCAAATTTCAAAAATGGCCGGAGAAAATCAAATATTTGTCAAGGGTGCTTCTATCAATTGACCCCCACTTTTTGCGGGACAAAATTATCTTTTTTTGATAGAGGTGTTTGGGATGCAATTTTAAACGGTCCTTTTGTTCCTAAAATTACTAAAAACGGAGAAGAGGTACCAAAACCATTTTCTAGATGGTCGGCTGAAGAAAATACAAAAAACTCAATATGATGTTAAGGCTAGAAACATAATTTCATCTGCTTTAACCCTTGATGAGTTTTACAGGATATCGGTTTGTAAGAGTGCTCAAGAAATGTGGGAAATGCTAAGAGTAACCCACGAAGGTACCGATGACGTTAAAAGAGCAAGAAAGAACTCATTGATTCAAGAGTATGACATGTTCTGGATGCAACAAGGGGAAACAATTTTTGACGTTCAAAAGCGTTGTAGACCCCAAATCTTGCCCGACCTCAAAATAAGACCAGAAGACCTCCTATTCGAAGATGGATGAAGCCTAAGAAGCCACTAGGAGAGACTATTAGGCCCCATAATAGAATTGGAAGGATTTTCTGCATTAAAATAAGGATTTTCGCCTTTAAGGATCGAGACTGTCGTCTCGCCATTCTAGCAAGTCGAGATTGTCGTCTCGTTTGGCGAGACGGCCGTCTCGCCACTTGCGAATGGTGAGACCCCTTCCCGTTTTGCGAGAAGGCCTTCTCGTTTCTGGGAAAGTCAATACCGCCGTCTCGCCAGACGAGACGGCAGTCTCGCCACTTTTACAAGTCGAGACCACCGTCCCGAATGGCGAGACGGCCGTCTCGACCTGACAGGCGCGAATCCCTATAAATAGTGAGCACTCCCCCCCTCATTTCACACAATTCTTCCACTTTCCCTTCTACAATTTCTTCAAATTCTCTTCCTAGAACCTCTCCGAAGCATTTCCGGAGTTTCTGAGAGTTTCTTAGAGATTTTTATAGTGTTTCAGAGAGTTTTCCGATGTTGTAAAGAGTGAAGGGCTGCCAAAACGCACCGTAATCTTCAAGAAATTATTTAAAGAGCTTGCTTCGGAGGTTTCTTCATTCTCTTCCTCTCTTTATTACCTTTACTTTTATGATTAAATTGCGTAATAGATATTAGGGTCATGTAGTCATTCTTTTAATTCTGCAAATAAAAGGGTAAAAACGTCTTTTCACAAAGTTTATTTATTAAAAAGCTGGCCTATCATAGGGAACCCGAAAGGGGCGTCGTAAGAGAACTAACACTTCTCTTACACGTAACTAACTCCCTTACCTAAACTCTGGTTTTAACGACCAAAGTTGGTTTTCAAAAACCAACACTTTTTTACTCCTTTTTCGATATTTCCGGTAAAAATATCAGTGGCGACTCCATAAGAACCCTTCAAAATTAGTTCTTGGGTTAGCCCGGTTATCGGACAATCCAAGAACACCTTTTCGAAAACCTCGCCCCTAGGTTCAACCTGGTTATTGGACAACCTAAAGGCATTGTAACCACACCCATAAAAACGCGAAATTTGGAAAGTCGGAACCATCGCGTCACTCTGACCGCCTTGTTTTGACGGCGGCGACTCCACTGGGGAAGCCTAGAGAGTTGATCCCATTTAGTGATGGGTCAGCTTAAATAAATAAACCAAGAAATTACGCTTTTACCCTACCTTGTATTATAACATGTTTTAATGCTTGACTTTAATAACTGTTGTTTGTTTATGTTTACGCAATTGTTTGAAATACAAACTGTACACAAACCCTTGCACACAACAGTTCCCTCTATACCCGGGGGCAAGTGAGAAATCCATAGGGAGCGGGTGGCAGGTACGATTCGCTGTAGTGATGGCCTTGTGCCCACCAGTGTGATCGGAAACCACCACTCAAGGTGATAACCTTCCTCTTTTGGCACAAAGACTGACTATGGCCATAGTGCTAAGCATGGTCGGAAGGCTGGAGAGTGGGGACCCTATAATGGGGGCACCTTGGGGGCCTTAGCCTTGGTGAGAACAGTTAGAACCTACCTTCGCCAATGCACTTTTCTGCAGGAAAACCCTACCTCGTGATTAAAACGACTTCTCACATGTTCGCGGATAAGTGAATTGTATGTGCATTTGTTTGTTGCATTTGATTGCATAGCATAACCAAACAAAAAGAAAAAAAAAATCACAAAAAACAAATTTGCAATAAACACCCTTATCTCGGACAGTTTGCCTTTTAGCTAGCTTGGTTTCAGGTTCTTTGTAAGCTAAGTAGCCACGCAGTCCAACAGAAGAGATAAGGGTCGCTAAACATTATTCTTCCGCATAAAGCCATTTTTTATCACGGACAGTCTGCCTTTTAGCTAGCCTGGTTTCAGGTTCTTTGTAAGCTAAGTAGTCACGCAGTCCGACAGAAGAGATAAAAGGCTATAAAATAAAAATAATAAAAATCAAAATAAAAATCCAATTCAAAACAATAAATGGGACCTTATTCATAAACATTATACTCATAAATCATTCATATAGGTAGTTTATTTTTCCAAAAAAATATATATATATATATATATATATACACAAATACCATACATCATAAAACATGATAAATAGGGAAATAAACACTCACATTCATACCTACAATAAGCATCATATTCATAAAGCATGCATTTTGGTTTTAGAAAATGGAGGGGACTAGTAGACAGTTGAAGAAAGTGGACATTCCCTGATACCATACTGAGAAGATAAAACGACTTTGCGCAATAATGCCACCAGAGGTCCGCTTCGACTTCGAAAAATCCTATGGACGGATCCTTGACCTGCTGAAGATCTGTGTCGATCAAGTTTTCATCAGGGTACTAGTTCACTTCTGGAACTCTAGTCTGCGTTGTTTCGAATTTCCGCAGTTCGATATGGTGCCCACCTTGGAGGAGTATGAGATTATGCTGAAATGGCCCAAATCAGCTGGGGTTCACATCCGCCACGAGGCATATACTCCTACAGCACAAGTCGTTGCCATCATCCGATTACCATTTCGATAGACTACCCTGAAAGAAAAAGGGAACATCTAGGGTTGGAAAGTTTCAATGTTAGAAGACCATCTGTCCGATTTGGCTGAAAGGGTAGAATGGATCGCTTTTAACAAAACCCTGGCTCTGATTATATTTGGAACAATCTTGTTTCCCTTCCACATCGACACAGTGGACTAAGCCGTCATGGATGCCTTCTTCGCTTGGGACGTGAACTCGAAGAGTCCCTTGCCTGCAATTCTTGCCGAAACCTTGCTCTCGGTGGAATTTTGCCGCCAAAAGCAACGAA